GCTTTTGCACTCAGTCACTCAGGAAGTTGGTAGATATAATAGTTTTGCTTAGTAATTTGGACTCTTTGGACTCTTTGCCCTTCTCACTCCATTGATTTGCCCCGAAGTATTAAGTGCAGAATTCTGACACCCAGCTGGGGTTTAGCATTTGCCTGGTATCTTAGTTTGGGCTCCTGTCACAAAATGCCATAGATTAGGTGGCTTATTAACAACACACATTTATTTCAGATAGTTCTGGAACATGGAATTCTGAGATCAGGATGTCAACATGGCCAAGTTCTAGTGAGGAGCTTCTTCCAGGCTATAGACGGTCGGCTTTTCCTCACATGGAGGAAAGAGGACAAAAAAAGCTGCCTGGGGTTCCTTTCATAAGGGCACCAATTCCCCTTACGAGGGCTCCAACCTCATGAGCTAATCACCTTCCAAAGGCCCTGCCTCCTGATTCCATCACTTAGGGCTTAAGATTTTTCAATCTTGAATTTTGCAGACACAAACATTTAGTCCATAACACAGTTTGAGAATATTTGGGCAGGGAAGTAACAGCAACAGAAAAATAGAAGGTATGACTAAATTTGAAAATGCTTAAAATAGTTGCAGTGGTCGTACTTAAAATTTCTGGGTGACAGTGTCCAATAGGTGTAGGAAGAGTTTGCCTCTTTACAGCGAGAGGTGTGGGGGTTAGACACGTGCAACTAACTACGGAGATAACAGGTATCACTCAGAACTCGGGTGGTTTGGATGGGAGGCAGGCAAAGGCTTCTCTATTGGGGCAGATGAGCAAGGAGAGGGTGCTCTTTGCCTCTGGCTGCAGAAACCAACTCACCTGGCCTTGGAGGAACCTGTGGGTGATTTACAATATCCAAGAGGTATGGGATATGAAAAACCCGGGTATTGATGTTGAGGTGAAGTGAAGGTGTGCTTCAATGCTTAGTCAGGAGATGGCAAGAGGAATTTAGAGGGCAGTGTGGTTCTAGGTCTCTGGGCAGATTCCATCTAGTGGGGTCCAGAGATAAACCTGAAGTTTGGTGTCTCCCTTGTGATGGTGGTGGGGAAATGCTTCTGGGCACTGTTATGGTTCATTAGTCCAAACTTTCTCTGTGGAGGGTATAAAGCTTCTCTTTTCTCTCCCAAATTAGTATATGCTACCTTTCACCCTTTGGTTATTGTTGCCTTTCTGCATTTGCATAGATGTTTGCCCTGGTTTCCATTAGTTGCCGTTTTTACTAGTTTGGTTCTGCATTTTGTCAACAGGAATGATTTTGCTGCAGATTGAAAACATAAGTATTTGGCTGAAAATTCTGTAATTGGGGGTTTTAATCTTCTAAACCAAAATAACATGGCAAAATTTAGGTAGTTCTTGATATAGGATATGCTTAGGGAGTGAGAATGTTGATACGGGGTTCAGGTCAGGCTGAGGAATAACCTTAAGAACTTGAATCCAAGTATGAGTTGCTACAGTGGGCTACATGAGATTGTAGGTACAAGGGCATAATCATGACCCTAGAGAGAATTTGGGCTGCCTATGTTATTTTACTTGTATAATTTCTCTTGCTTGGAAATCACTCCCTTTTCTTCAACACTAATTTTAAAAAAATAAGTATTTTCTCCAATAGTTATTTAAGAATTTCCTTCACAATTCTTATTAAATCAATCCACTCATTCATGCATGCATGCATTCATTTATTAAATATAGTCCTCAGTGTACAAACATTTATTAGACACCAAATGCCGAGCACTGGGCTAGGTGCCGGAGATTGAAAACCAGTGAAGCCATGGTCTCCATCCCTAAGAAGCTCAGCACCTGGCAAATTCTTCACACTTCAACCCACCTTGGGTCACCGGAGTCTATCCAGTCATTTCTCAGTATTCATTTAACTGGTTTTGTGTTCAATTTGTGTTTATTCCTAGTAGAAGTGGCTTGCCTTCCATAAGTGACTAGGCATTTTCATAAGAAAGAATTATGCTTTCTTCTTTCCTTATCATCATAGAGCCTGGTATTCTGTACAGAGTAGGCTCTAATACACATTGTTAACTGAGGGACCACTTTCTAAGGTAAATAAATGGGGTCAGCTGATTATGACTTATACACACGATTATTGATATTGCTAATAGAAATTTGAGGGTTGTTGATGATGTAGTCAACTGATATGAAAAGCCTCTATTGCCAATCTGTAGACTAAACACAGCCTCTGTTATCTTCGTATACACCAGATACCCTGTAGACAACCTCTTGCAAAAGTGCAGCAGTATGTTTGGTTTTTAATGACAGGAAGATTAAATTAAAGTTATATCTACACGGATGTCTTCCTTGTGTGTTGCAACTGTTCAAGAAGTATGGTTTGGGAAGGTTCCCTAATGAAGTGCATAAACAGTAATTTTCTTTCAAACTGTCAATGAAGATTGCTGTATTACTCAATTGAATTTCAGTGACCCCTTACTCTAGAAGGAACCCAGGAGAGAACACATTTTTACAAATAATACACTTTGCTTTCTTTGCTTTGCAGCTCTGATAATTTTGTTCCTGTCTTTGAGTCTGTCAAATAACAAGGAGGCTGCTTGTTTCTTAGGACAAAGGTATTTGCAGGGAAACTGATCAAACTATTTTTATTAATAATCTCATTACTGAGGCATCACCAATGCTTTTGTGCATTTGAGGGTACCAAATAGATTAAAGTTTTATTCTGGAAACTCTGGAGCCATACAAGAACAAAGAAGCTTACGAGCACAGTGGGTGGTGGTTCTTCCCTGGCTAAGGCACATTTGTGCTTGGGAGAACTGCTGTCCTATTTCTGCAGCGTTGCAACCCCTCTGGTAAGGGGTCTTCTACTGAATTGGCCATAGGAGCCCTTAAAGGTAGTCATGACTACAGGCTATACTATTGTTAATGAGACTTTCTTTCTGACAGGGCACCAACATGCTCCTTGAAAAAAGGTAAAAGGAAGGCTCATTACAGCTACATGCAGAGGCTACTAGCAAATGAGAACAAATTTGCCCTTTGCTTTGGTGGGAATCGGGAGGAAAAGGGGAATTGTGATGGAAGGTAGAGATACACTCTCCTTCTTATGTCCATATTCATAGCATTCAATCTTAGAATAATGGATACAGTCTCCCAGTTTTCATTCTCATACATTCTATACACATTCCCTGCCTTGGACTGGGCATCTAAGTGGTTAGAACATTTGACCAAAGAGGCCAAGGCTGAATTGCTTCCCACAGAGAACAATGAACTTTACAGCCCACATTTCTCCATATTTGTTCTTCATCACTCTCTATTCATCCATTTGTGGTTTTCCTGTCCCTGCTTCCCCCTCCCCACCACCCCAGTTTCTGAATAGTGTACCAGGGGTTTAAGACCCTGTTTGTCACCTTAGCACTGTGCTTATTCTAAGAGTTTGTGTGGAGCTTCTGGGGAGGGTGGGGTGGTATGACGACAGAGTGGGGCATGAACCTTCTGTCCTTGTTTTGAACGCAACAATTTTACATATTGATCTAGTCTTTAGGAAATTAAACAATGAAAAAGCTGACATTTTTATGGCACGTCAAAGCTTATAAGCAACTTCCCATACAATATTTCATTTAATTCAAACAATGTAGGAATTGTTACAACTCTAGAGAGGGTAAGTGACATGCCCAAAGCCACTGACTCATTGTGACAAAGCTTTTTTGTTTGTTTTTGGTTTTTTTTTAGACAGTCTTACTCTGTCACCCAGGCTGCAGTGCAGTGGTGTGAACATGGCTCACCACAGCCTCAACCTCCTGGGCTCAGGTGATCCTCCCACCTCAGCCTCCCAAGTAGCTGGGACTACAGGTGCATACCACCATACTTGGCTACTTTTTTCATTTTTTTGTAGAGAAAAAATGGGTCTCACCATGTTGCCCAGACTGGTCTCAAACTCTTGAGCTCAAATCATCCTCCCACCTTGGTCTCCCAAAGTGCTGGGATTACAGGTGTGAGCCAGCATCCCCGGCCCAGAGCTGAGTCTTAATACTGAGACTAACGCCTTTTTCATTCTCCAGGGGAGAAGGCAGAGGCCACAAAGGTGTGTGAAATGTTGAGCAGGGCAAATGGATCCTGGAGCCCAGGGTCAGGGCTGCTGAGCAAGAGAAAATGCATCCTATCTCTCAGTTTTATGAAGAATAAGCTTGAGATCTTGAATGCGTGGCTGGCTCACAAGAAGCTGAGGGGTCACAGAGGTCAGACTAAGTTTTCTGGAGGAGAAACTGCTCCTGGGGTCCTCCTTGACTGGGTTTGAGGCAGTGCCCTGGCCTGGGAGAGCAGGCAGTGGGTCATCGGGATCCCTTTGTTTATCTGGGTGTTTTCTCTTCCCTACATGAAGCATCTAGTGGTGAGTGCTTGATAGGACAGAGTCCTACCTGGTTTGCCAGGGAACAAAACGTCCTCGATCTTTCCTTTAGAGTGGGGTTGTTAGACAGCTTTGTCTAGAAACAGTCACTGTAAGGGACAGGTCAAGGACAACTTGGGCAGTAGGAACTGAAGAGGGAAGCTCAGTCGCTCCTGGAGGAGAGCCACAGTCCCTAAGGCAAGTTCCCTGTCTGTGGAAAGCAGTAGGCAGTAACATGGGAAGGAGAGCCACAGTCCCTAAGGCGAGTTCCCTGTCTGTGGAAAGCAGTGTGCGGTAACATGGGAAGGAGAGCCACAGTCCCTAAGGCGAGTTCCCTGTCTGTGGAAAGCAGTGTGCTTTCCACATTAGAAGTGCTGCGAGGCAAAGGACTGAGGGTTGCTTTTCCACCCCGGAGCCTCCAAACTCTGTCTCATCCACAAAGACTACTTCAATCCCATCTCTTTCAAGGAAGTACCAAGTGGGAAACCAAATACTGGGCTTTACAAAGCACATTGGAGTTAATGTTTGGCAGGGGGATATCTGGATCCAAGGGCAGCTCACAGAGTGGGCCTCACTGACACGGTGTGGGCCGTGACTCAGATTCCTGGGTGTCCTGACCCTCCTGGGGCAGGTCACATGTTCCCTGGCCACTTCCTCTTTTCCTACATGCTGGCCATGGGGAAATCCCCACTGGGCCCTATAAGAAGCCCCTGGGCTCTGTGCAGAGCCGAGCTCTAGCTAAGAGGACAAGATGAGGCCCGGCCTCTCATTTCTCCTAGCCCTTCTGTTCTTCCTTGGCCAGGCTGCAGGGCATTTGGGGGATGCGGGACCCCCAATTCCTAGCCCCAGCTTCAGCACCTTCCCAGGCGTTGACTCCAGCTCCAGCTTCAGCTCCAGCTCCAGCTACAACGGCAGCTCAGGCAGCGGAGGTTCTGTGTCCCAGGTGAGGAGGCCCCAGAATCTGAATGAGCTGCCTTCATTCCCTTCCTCTTGCTTTTGGGGACCTGAATACAATTTCATGGATGGCTAGACCTGGGCACTCTAAAAGATTTACGACTCCTTGTGTTAACTATAGGTGCCCTGGAAATGAATTAAAGCCTCAGCATAATAATTAAATTGTTAGCAAGAGAGACGACATCTCAGTTCTCCAGCTGGGGCTTTTGAGAAAATCTATGCTTTAGAGGAATTCTCAAATCTGGCTGCACATTAGGATGGGTGGCCAGGGGGACTCTAAAAGTACAGATGCCTGGGTTCTGTACTTAAGAAAATCCTGCATAGATGTCTCGAAATCAGATAGTTTAAAAAACCTCTCCCCAGGTGATTCTAATATACAGTCCAGGATGGGAACTGTTAGGAGAAGACTCTTATGGGTTACAGCTCCAGGAAAGTTTGTCCAGTTGATTTGCTGCCTGGCAGGGTCCTGGGATGGTGAATAGTAGCCCGTGAGGGAGTGAGAGCCACAGTGCTCTAGTTGAAGCCCTGACCATTTCTCTTGGCCTGGTTTGTAAAGTAGATGGGTGTCAGAAATAAGCAGGGGAGTTACTGGTCTTTAGCAAAGTGTTACTACAAGGGGACATTTCCCTAGGGGAGTGTTCACTCTTTGCAATCTTCTTTATAGGGAATCTTCAGAGCCATTTTCAGCTCCAAACAACAGCAGCAACAAACAAAACCAAAAGTCATGCATTACAAAGAGACTGGTATAGCTAGGCTAAGTGCATAGAAGGCATAGTGAGCCCAGTTCCTTGGGGGATGGGTCCTCTTTGGATCTCCTTTAAAGAAAGGAGAATAGGCTGGAGGGCATGAGGGGTTAGGAGGTAAGAAGCAGTTATTCATTTCACTCTGGGCCTTTCTGCGAGAGCCCCACTCTGCAAACCTCCCAGGCTATTCTCACTAAGGTATAACTTGGGGTAGGGGAGTCTTATCTGGGCCAAAGCTCCTCTCTCTCAACCTCTAGGATCTTTACTCACAGGTCAGGTGGCTGCTTACATGATCGTGTCCGAATGGAAGGGCAAATGGGAGAAAGAGGAGGAAAAGGCTTTTATTTGTTTTCATTTTGACCATCAGAAATATGCAAATATTACAAATTTGATAATTAACAAATGGTTTGGATAGGGCCTAGATAGAAACAGCAGCAATAACATTTACTGTGTGTCTAATACATGCCAGGACTAGGTTAAGTACATAATACATATCTTTTTTGTTTGTTTGTTTGTTTTTTGTTTTTTTGTTTTTTGAGACAGAGTCTCACTCTGTTGCCCAGGCTGGAGTGCAGTGGCATGATGTGGGCTCACTGCAACCTCTGCCTACAAGGTTCAAGTGATTGTCCTGCCTCAGCCTCCTGAGTAGCTGGGATTACAGGTGCGTGCCACCATGCCTGGCTAATTTTTGTATTTTTAGTAGAGACGGGGTTTCACTGTGTTGTCAGGCTGGTCTCGAACTCCTGACCTTGTGATCTGCCCGCCTCAGCCTCCCAAAGTGCTGGGATTACAGGCATGAGCCACCGCACCTGGCCTATATTATCTTATTTAAGCCTAAGAGGTAGGTAAAATTAATAGTCCCATTTTAGAGATGTGAAAACTGAGGCTTAACAAGGCGAAGTCATTGAGTTTAAGTCACTAAGCTAACAAGTTATATAGCTCAAAATTAGTCTGTCCATTCTCTTCACCATGTCTGTACATGCAGGTTTCTATATTTCCAAGGAGTATAGATGAAAATTGCTTATTTTTTAGAGGAGGCAGTCTTGGGAATCATAAGTAGGCACAAGGATTCTTTGCAGTCAGAAATCAGATACATAATTTTATTCCGTGATACTCAGTGATTTCTGGGGATGATCAGAATTGGCTAGCACTCTTTTTTGAACTGAGGTTAACAATAATCATTTATTATGAAGCTCCGTCAATATTTCTCCATCAGAAACCAGCATTTGGATAAGATTATCAGCTATAATAATAGAAAATATAGATCAAGAAACAGAGAAATCCAGAATGCCTATTGTCTGGTAAAAAGACAAATATTTAAAAGTAGATGAGACATGGTAGTTAAATTGTACTTAGAGGTTTTAATTTTCCTTTTTACTTATCTCTCCCTGGTGAGTCAGTATCACAACTCCAACTTTTTTTTTTTTATAGTGGACTGGGAGTCAATTTCACTATCAACCTAATTTTCTGGGGCTGGCTGTCAGCTTGACGAGCTCTTTGGAAGGTGGTGGAAAACCCTTTTATAACTGTCACTGAGTGAGTTCCAAACATATCATTTTCTGTACTCTGAAAATGTTGAGTACCATTATTTTATACCTTGAATCTTTGCTGACGCCTAGCCTTGGCTACTAATTAGAGCCAATTGCAACCTTAAATCACCTTAAATGTGAGTTGCACCTTCTGTTGTAAGCACTCGGAGTACTCTCTGCCTCAGACGTCTGCCTCCTGAGGAGGGGCCTCTGCAGGGTCCTCAATTTGCAAGACTAGAAAAGGCTCAATGCTCCGCTCCACACAGTAACTGGTATAGTCGGAACTGCAGCGAGTCACGTGTTTTGTTCTCATCAGGCTATCAGGCTGGTTTGAAAAAACAAGTAGGGCTTTCATAGTGACGGTGGGCCTGATTCCTGGGCAGAAATTGAGTCTTAATCGTCTCCCTAAAGCCAGAGCCTGGCATAGTATAGACATCAGTAAATGTTAATTGAACACATGCTTAGTGAAAACCTACCAGTATAAGGTGTCTTGTGGGGAACTCGGGGTCCTATTTGCCCTACACAAGGGGAATCGCATATTCTTCCAAAGGCTGAGGGGACAAGCGCTTGTCTTTGTCTCCCATCCCCCAGGCTTCATTCACGTGGAGTTTGAGCACTCACCGCAGAGAGAGACTCATCACCATTAGCTTCATTGTCTTTGAATGCGAGGAGCAGAAATATCTCTAATGGGAGACACTGATCAAAGTTATGGACCATTTTGATGTCAGCTGAGCATGCTGGGCTGATGATAAGCAGGATGGAAGCTGGGGGAGTCCATAGCACTGGGACAGAGATGTTCAATAGAAACCGGTGGAATGGCTGTCAGCAGGGCTCATAAGTATTTGCCTGTCTTTCAAGTGAACTTCAGTACTAAAAGTTGTTAGCTAGTGGTTCCTAGTTGACTGTCGAGAGATTGCTTGATGATATCCACTGTTTTCTCAGTTGGCAGAGTTTCTCAGAGAACTCTGAGAATGGCCCAACCCTGTTTTGTGCAGCTAATTAAACTCCCCTTGTTAAAATGCAATGCAATAATTTTTTTTTTTTTTGCTAGACAGTTATTATAATAAGCTATTTCTTCAAAAGTCCGTGATATGTTGGTCTTTTCTGTAAAAGCCTTGGCATGCTTGAGTTGGAGTCTTTCTGTCTTTGGAGAAATGAGTAAAGCTGGTTTCAAGGGAAGCTGGCCTCTCTGATAGGTTCCTGGGGTATCTTGTCCGATCTTTATTCATCTCTAGCAAAGACCCTTGCCCTATTCAAATCCTGCTGTCCACCCCTATGTTCGACATAAATCTGCTTGTTTCTCCTCCCTACTCCTGAACTCTTTCCCGTGTGGGGATGTGACTGGAAAAGAAAATTGAGGCCAAGGTCGTAAATTTTGACTAAACACATATAGAGACTTTTGGATACACACACATATATGTATTTTTTGCTCATCTTGAAACTTAAATTAAATTAAAAACAACTTAGGTGCAAAAGCCTTGATTGGCCCCGAGGCCAGTGATAAAATAAGTCTTCATTATAGAAGCATCTAGACCCAGCTTGTTCAGGCGTCATGGAGGTTGGTGGCCATTAAATGACAGGACACATGACACCACCTGCAGCTGGCTGACCTGAACTTTGAGAGACATGGCCAGAGTCTCTTCTAGCTCTGAAGACCATTGCTGTCTCCTTAGCGGTTCATAAAAAGTCCCTTCAGGCTGATGTTCCACAGGTGAGCTTTGGGTTGGCCTTCAGATGAGATCATTAAAAGGCACAGCAAATTGGCTGCCAAGGGTTACTCTGTAAGGCAACAGTAGTAATGAAAAAATGTTAATTGTGCTGAGATCCTCTTGGGGAAGTTCAAAGGGGACAAAAGAAAAACAGGATCTTTCAAACGTGTCATTTAAAAATATGCAGTGGCACTGAAGTGTGAGTCTGAATATCTTAAAGAAACATCAAATATTTTAAAATGACTTTTTCTGCAAATGGTAAGCTGGAAAAAAACTTTTACTAAAAAAATTGCACAAAACCTTCAAGCTCATATGCTATTCAGTTTCTAACAAATGGCTGGCTCTCATTTTGAAGGATGTTAATTTACAATTTCCCAGGCGATGAGAGGATATGAATTTGCATCATATATTTTCATTGTAGCCTGCATCCTTGGTGATTCCCTCATTCTGATGAAAAGGAATTGGATTGGGGTTGGGGTGAAGGTGAGGAAGAGAAAATGAGCAGTAGAAGGAAAGAGAATGTGACATTTTCTGATCACCTACCCTGTGCCAGAGACTTGGCTCACATTACTCCGTTAACACTGAGGATAACCCTGTGAAGTAGGTTATCTCTATTTTACAGATGAAGGAACTAAGAATTAAGGAGGTTTCACATCTAGCAAGTGCTAGAATTGAAATTCGAACTTAGCACTCTCATAGCTTCTTTATTTCCCTTTCCTTGCATAGAGTAGGAATAATCTCCTTTAAGACTCCAGAATGGAGAATCTTCCTTTCGGGAAAGTCCACTGACATAGTGGTTTTCGTACGGCGATGTGGCTAAACGCTGTGTGGTCCCCACCTGTGAAAACAAAGCTGTTTTAGCTTGTTTCTATGATTCTATTCATTTATGTATTGGACTCCACTTACTTGCCTGTAAGTACTCTTGACAAGCCAATTTCTGTCACTCCAGTTGCCAAAAAGCTCAGATTCCAGCTTGTTACTGATGTTCAACTTGTTATTATTTGCAGTTGTTTTCCAATGTCACCGGCTCTGTGGATGACCGTGGGACCTGCCAGTGCTCTGTTTTCCTGCCAGACACCACCTTTCCCGTGGACAGAGTGGAACGCTTGGAATTCACAGCTCATGTTCTTTCTCAGAAGTTCGAGAAAGAGCTTTCTAAAGTAAGCATTTTCTTTCCAAACAGTATCTTGATAAAAAGAAGCAACACAAAACGTGTTTTAATTTAGGATTTTAGAAGCAACCATTCTTCACTGTATCAAAGACATCACATTTTTATTCTATGGTGATTTTAGTATTTATTTTAGAGGACACCAATGGAGTTCTTATTAAGGCAGGGGAAATGAGAACACAGGAAGAAAGTGGGGTTCAGATTGTTCACGCTGTGGATAAACTCACTATAGTATTGTGGTATTTACATAGTTGGAAAGAAGCTCTCCCTGCAAACCCCAACTTGCAATTTTTATTTTGTTTTGATGCTGCTTCTTCCTTTTGGTCTTCTAGATCTTTCCTCAAGCTTTCATTTCTTTTTTTTTTCTTCTCCTCTATCCCCTTTAGTTCTATCTCCCTTCTCTTTTTCCTTTTCTTCTATTTCTATTCCATTCTTGCATCTTTTACTTTCTTATTTCTCCTGCCTCAATCCTTGCTCTTATTCATCCCTTCTAATCTATCTTTTCCTTTCCTGGTTAATTCTTTTTTTTTTTTTTGGGGGGGGACATTTTTGGGTATTTTCTTACTTTTAGATGATCTTTTTTTCCCTCCTTCTTTTCCTCTTCCTCCACTTCCACTCCTTCAAATCCTCTCCCTCTCATCGTCCTCCCTCCCTCTCTCTTTTCTTTAACGCTTTTACAAATTGCTCACTTCCTTCTCTCTTTCCCTCACTCTCTTTCTTTTTTTGTGACAATAAGTTGTAGTCTCTTTTATTTTTTTCTATTTTCTCCAAGTGAAACCCAAGGTTGTAGTCTCTTTATTTTTAATTTTTATTTTTTCTGGGTATATAGTAGGTGTATATAATAATGGGGTACATGAGATACCCTGAGACAGGCATGCAATGCATAATAATCACCTCATGGAAAATGGAGTGTCCATCCCCTCAAGCATTTATCCTTTGTGTTACAAACACTCCGATTAGACTCTCTTACTTATTTTAAAATGTACAATGAAATTATTACTGACTATAGTCACCCTGTTGTGCTGTTGAATACCAGGTCTTATTTGTTCTTTCTAACTACTTTTATTTTTTACCCTTTAACCATCCCCACGTCCGTCCTCACCCTCCATCTCTCTTTCTTGATGGTTATCTTCTATTGTCTCAGCAGGAACATTACATTTGATGTGTCCAACGTCAGACAAAAATTGAAGGCTTCCCTGGGAATTTGAATCAAGACTAATAGGTTTCTCAGCCTTGGTGAAAACACTGACTTGAACTCTGATTACTGTGTTTTTCTTTAGCCAGAGGAAGTTATCTTAAAGGGTTTGCCTTTCTCTGGGCTGGCTGGCACAATGTGACTTGGTGTTCTAGTTTTGACCCCTTCCACCTTTTCAGCCCAAGTTAAAAATCAATTAGAAAAGTTCCTATTTTCTGCACAGGTGAAGTCCAAGCTAGGCTATAATCACATTATGCATTATTTAATACAACTCCATTAATTTACAAGGAGCTCTGGCTTTACTGCAAGATTCAGAATAAGTTTTCCTAAGAAATTTAAGCTTTTCCACCTCAACATCCAACATAGTTATCCTTTAAAACAAAAATTATGATGAGGCTGAGACCCTACTTTCAGCCTGAATTGGTAGATAAATATTCTAAGTTTAAATGAGTGTCCAGGAAAATGTGTTTGACTACTCTAGAAACCTAGCTGCTTAAGAAATAAAATGTCCTTGAATTAATCAGCAGAAAAGGCACAGCACTAAATTATAAATTCTAACCATTAATATTCATAGCCTTATTCCAGCATAATCAAGTACAGATAAGAAGTTATGCATAAAAACATAACAAGTAGAGGAAAATCCTAGGTAAAGATTTTTTCAGTTAGAGTCATTTGCTTTGAAATAGTGGGAACTACTGATTTACATATCATCTTTGCTGGCAGCAGTGTGAAGGGCAGTTTGAAACCTTATGCGCTCCAGGGAGGGGATGTGGCTTGCCAGGTTTGTGGATATGGGACATTCAATTCCAATACTGTACGGGGGACTGGTAGCATCTGCTTTGCTAGTAACAGGTAGGGACAAAATGCAGAATAGGTGAAAAGTTTTAGTTCTGAATGTGTCAATGGCTGCTCAGATCCTAAAAAAATCTGTGATTGTGGCCTAAGGAAAAAGTTTATCTGCTAGCTAGGAATTATATAATCTATTTAGTGTGGCAGGTGATAATAACAACAATAATAGTAGCAGTTTGTTTGTGCTTTTTCAAATGCTTCCAGTTCTATTCTCCTTTCAAGTAACCCTTTAAGGCAGATAGGCCAGGTGTTGTCTCTCCCATTTTAGAGAAGGAAAAACTGCAGTTCGTAAAGGTAAGGAGACTTGCCCAAGGTCATTCCTCTCTTGGCTGGTTAAGCCAGGTCAGAATTCGAGTCTTCAAAATCATCCCAACTCTCTTTCCTCTTGGCCATGCTGTCAGCATCCTCTAGGGTAGGCCCAGAAAGAGCTGCAGTAGGTCAGTAATGCCCTCAAATCCAAAGTTACCTGTTTAGCTGAGGGCTTTCGAATTTCCAAGTGAATTATTACAGCTGTCCCTAGGTTGCCTTGAAAATCATCATTTAACTGGGGGCCTGGGAGAATGCCCGTTTAGGACAGGCCAGTAGAAAAGGTTCTTGACTGCCTTACATTGATTCATTATCTGTCAGTACGCAGAGAAGACAGGGAGCTGCCTCTGCATAAGATGCTGAAAGCATTTTATACTTTTCTGTTGTTTACGATATGTCCTTTTGTGACTATACTTAGGAAAGGGATGGCACAAAAGGCAGCTCAAGATTTTCTCTTTCTCTGGAGGCTTATGGTCTTTGGGGTAAGTTGTTTAATATGACATATTTGCTAGTAGATCCTCATGCATGGGAAGGTTGAGGCAGCCTAGGAGACATTAAGGCAACCCATAAAGAAACGACATTGATTGAGCCATATTTTGTGTAGTGAAAGAAAATAAAAGGTCAGATTGAAAAATGCTGAAATTACTGTTTCTCTACTAATTTCTATAATTCATAGGGCCTCCATTAGCTAGGCACTTAATGTACATTATCTGTAGTCTTTATGTAATCTTGTAAACTCAAATATCATTACCCCCAGTTTACAGGAAACTAAGGGTTAGAGAAATTAAGTGATTTGCCCACTAAGTCCTGAAGTTAGATTTGAGTCTAGTTGGGTCTAGCTCCAAAGTGCTTTATATGTCTTTACAATCACTTCAGGCTCAATGAACCCTGTTACATTTACTTTGAAACATATATTGAAAACAGTAGTATGTTGCAAAGTAAACTTACTTATTTCAAATAGTCTGGCCATAGTTATAATCACAGGTTTTGAGAGACTGGCAGGAACAAGAACCAGATTAATTCTTTAGCTCACTAGCACTACATCCTTATTTATGACAAGACCACATTAATTATAAGGAACAATAACAAGCACCCCAAAACCAACCCTCACACAAATTTTATTCCTCATCAATGACATAGTATGTGCATAACAAGCAAAATAAAATGGAAGCTGTGAATGTTAGGCTGGTGGCTTAAAGACTCAACTAAAACATAGATAAGCCGTCTAGTACTCAGACTTGTCGTGATGAGGAGCTTCGAGGTAAAGATGTTGATACAGGACGTGTCTTCTCAAGGCTAGACCCATATTCCTGATAGAATGTTTAGCAGTGTCCCTGGCCTTTAGATGCCGATAGCACCCGCCCACCCCCCAGTTATGAGAACCAGGACAAAATCATCACCACTACCACCCTCCCTCCATTTAGAATGACTGTTCTAGATCAAAATAGAGCCACAGGTCTTCTAAAGACAGGGATATATTCTGAGAAATACATCGTTAGGTGATTTTAACATTGGTGAACATCACTGTATGCTTACACAAACCTAGAGGGTGTAGCCAACTACACACTCACTCAGGCTATATGATATAGCCTATTGCCAGGCTACAAACCTGTACAGCCTGTGACTGTACTGAATACTGTAGGCAATTATAATACAATGGTAAGTTTTTGTGTATGCATATATATCTAAACATAGAAAATGTACAGTAAAAATATATTTATAATCTCATGGTACCACTGTCATATATGTGGTCTGTCATTGACAAACATGTTGTTAGGCAACAAACAACTGTATTTTCTAGAAGAAGAAAAAAAATGCAGAAAGTGCCCCAAGTGCCAGGGATGTGGGACTGGAGGCTCCCAGGCAGGCTGGGCTGCCTCTCCCAAGACTGCACCTCCCAGGAGGAGATGGCTTGTGCTCAGCATTGTCCACGCATTCCCAAAGCTACAGATTCATATATGTGAAAGGTTCATATGAATGATTTACTTGAATTAGTGAAGTTCACACTCTGAAGTCTTTCTGGCCCATCCCCAAGCTCTTTTGTGTCTTCTCTAACTCCATGGATTATTGCCGTTTTCCTGAACACCACCGAGCGTCTTTTAAGTGTCTGCTGAAGAACCTTGAGTTTTTTTCCTCAGCTGGATCTGTACAGCCCCTTCATTCTGTCTGCACCAGGATAGGCACACCACACATTTTTATAGGTAACAAACTCCAGAATATGCCTTGCTTTTTTTTTGTGAAAATCTGGGAGAACCACATTTTATTTAGCAGAGATGACAGTTGAATCACTCATTTTTGTAGAACAACAGCTGCGATGTGCCACCAAAATGTTCCAGAGAAGCTGAGGGTGTTTCATTTGTTCCAAGAGCTGGCAAGGCCAAATGCCAACAAGCATATTTATTTCTCAAACTTCCATTTCTGTAATGGATTGGCACTTTATTTATTTATTTTTATCATAGTCAAGGTTTTATGCCTGATTTTTGTAGACACTTGAAACCTTGCAGTCCTATATCTGCAGTGCACTTTTGAGGGGGACTTGTTAGGTTTCATATACAGTCAGCCCTCCATAGCCTTGGTTCTTCATCTGCAGATATAACCAACCTCAGATTGAAAAATTTCACAGAAAAAAACTAATAAAAATGACCATGTAACAACAGAAATTACACAAATAAAAGCAATACAACAACTATTTATGTAGCATTTACATTGTTTTAGGTATTATAAGTAATCTAGAGATGATTTAAAGTATTTGGGAGGATGTGTGTAGATCGTAGGCAAATAGTGTACCATTTTCTATCAGAGTCTTGAGCATCCTTGAATTTTGTTATTCTTGGGAGATTCTGAAACCAGTCCCCCATGGATACAGAGGGGTGGCAGTATATATGTTTAAACCTCCCTATCCACCAAAATATCACCAGCCTTGTCATCCTCCGAGTTATGGTACATCCGATGGCAGTGAGCATCAGTTGCCTGAGGAGATACACTAGCAGTGCCAAGGGCTGTTTTTTCAACTTTCATTAAAATCCTTTTTGCCTGAAGCCCTAGTTCTTTAGGTCTGTGGTCTATGAGTCTACTTTAATTTGCACAATGGGGTTAAGTGGAAGGGCTGAAATGACAGAAGTTAGGATTGCTTTTGGTATTAGAAGGATTAGAGGCCAACATCTGGCTCTAAATTCATCCAGGCACTGTGGATCAGCTACTTGATATTAGTGTAGTTTTGGGAAAAGTATCACTTCTGTTCAAATTTTTAAAAAGCATATAAAGCCAGCAACTTTTAATGAGCAGGTCCTTAAAAAAGCCATGGCATTTTCTTTAGAGATCAGACACAGAAAGAACCACCAACTGTGTTTATTAAAATATCCATTTGGAGATTCCAATTATACACTAAACCGCCAAGGGAATTTTTGGAAGTATTTTAACTTAATGATCAGACATTCAAATATATGCAACAAATGTGTAATTTAAAGGTCTGATTGCAATAATCAGTTCTTGGAATAAATGTAGGTGCACTTAATGAAATGTGTACTCTACAGGGCACACACACTCACATATTGTGTAGTAGGTTGGATCTTTATGCCACTTTGTAAAAGGCAGAGGGGATCAAAACTAATTGCATATGGTGATCAAAGAAGGAATTCAGCATAGCGCATTTCTCCCTCTTCTAGAAAATACTTAGATTTAGAGCCGTGGTTCTAAATGGAAGGAGGTGGTGGTGGCAGCGGCAATGATTTTGTCCCCAGGGAACATTTAGCAATGTCCAGAGACATTTTTGGTTATCATAACTGGGGAGTAGGTGGATGCAACTGGCATCAAGAGGCCAGGGATGCTGCTTAATATTGTATAATTCACAGCACAACCGCCACAAGAAATGACAATCCAGTCCCAAATGCCAACAATTAGAGTAAGTGTGTTGAAAGGAGGAGAGATGGCAAGAGAATATGATACAAACCGGTTTAGTTTGGGGAGCTAATGTCTTCAAACATTAAAATGGAGATTAAGAAAAAAGAGCTCAGTATCACCTGATTGTTAGAGAAACGCAAATCGAAGCCATAGTAAGATACCATCTCACACCAGTCCAGAATGGCTATCATTAAAAAGTCAAAAAATAACAGATGCTGGTGAGGTGGCAGAGAAAAGGAACACTTATACACTGTTGGTGGGAGTGTAAATTAGCTCAGCCATTGTGGAAAGCAGTGTGGTGACTCGAAGAACTGAAAAGAACTATTATTCAACCTAGCAATCCCCTTACTGGGTATATACCCACAGGAATATAAATTGTTCTCCCATAAAGATACATGGGTGTGTATGTTCATTGCAGTACTATTCATAACAGCAAAGACATGAAATCAACCTAAATGCTCATCAATGGTACACTGGATAAAGAAAATGTGGGCCATATACACCATGGAATACTTTGCAGCCATAAGAAAGGATGAGATCATGTTCTTTGTAGGAACATGCATGGAGCTGGAAGCCATTATCCTAAGCAAATTAACACAGGAACAGAAAACCAAATACCACATGTTGTCACATATAAGTGAGAGCTAAATGATGAGAACACATGGACACAAAGAGGAGAACAACAGAGGCGTACTTGAAGGTGGAGGGTGAAAGGAGGGAGAGGAACAACAACAAAAAGTCTCTGGGGTGCTAGGCTTAGTACCTGGGAGACAAAATAATCTGTACAACAAAACCCTATGACATGAGTTTACTTATCTAACAAACCTGCATATGTACCCCGAACCTAAAAGCTTTTTAAAAAACGAAGATTAAAGTACACTTGCAAATGATGATGCTGACGCAAAATTATTTTTGGTCTAGCAAAATATAAAATCTACCTCCCTTCAATTGGAGTAATAAGTTCTTTGTATGTGGATAGATTTTAAAAATCTAGTTAAATATATTTTTGATCTATTTCTTTACAAAAAAACAATGATTGGCAAGAATCAAATAGTTCTCAGCTCAAGGGCTTGGTAGTGGAAGAAGATGGTGTGATACTACTCAGGGAATTGGCTTGAATCTTTTGATTTTCTTTCAGGTAAAGGAATATGTCAAATTAATCAGTGTGTATGAAAAGAAACTGTTAAACCTAACTGTCCGAATTGAGATCATGGAGAAGGATACCATTTCTTACACTGAACTGGACTTTGAACTGATCAAGGTAGAAGTGAAGGAGATGGCGAAACTGGTCGTACAGCTGAAGGAGAGTTTTGGTGGAAGCTCAGAAATTGTTGACCAGCTGGAGGTGGAGGTAAGGAGTGAACTCACTTCTTGGTAAATTACTAATAAACTCCCTTCAGTGACTATAAGCAAGTACTAGGACCAGGAAATAAAACTCGCTCTTCCAACTTCTAATTCTCTACTTTCTCATGGCCACATGGCATATCACTATGTTCTGTTTTGGATAAGGGCCTGCGTTTGAATAATAAGTTAAGCACATTGGGAACGTGCTGACTTAGGAGCAGGTATCGTCTAATGGTCAGAATCCTGCCCCAGAATAAAATGCCCTTTCAACTTCTCTGAAAAGGAGGTGACATAAATTTGAACAACTGTTCATGGCCAAGCTATATGAGGTGTCTTCTCTGTTCTCGATTGGAACTGGAAATCCACAATATACCTGATTGTGGCAAACTTGTTAGGTTTATTTCTCCTTTTGAATAACCTGGAATCCTTCTCCACAAACTGGAAACCTCCTTTAATAAATTTCTTGTATATTTCTGTGAAGCCTTTTAAGATCTGTGGATAAAGACCATCACATTTATGGTTGGGTAATTTATATCAACGAGAATTTACTAGCACAGTCATGACATGGGCTATAATTGAGAATTCTAGTTACATATTTTAGAATTTAAGCTTTCTCTGGCCCTCACCATTCATTAGAATCTTAATTATAATACAACATGAGTAAACACAAGTTTATAGGGGAACGTTATTAGAAATGAACTTTAACGGACATTTGTGGATGCTGAGAATGAGCTTGGGCTCTGTTATTAAAGCCGTTAAAATCTTTGCCATTTTCTTCTTGTCACACACATCTGCCTGAGATCTGACAGGGGTTCACACTAAACCATAAAATGTATTCTTCCAAATGAAACCATTCAGAAGAATCTCTGGTGTATTCTCTGGCAATGTTTCACTAAATGACAAATTCAGCCCTGGAATGTTTATGAAAGAAATTGCACCCTAATATAAAGTCACTCTGAATTTTTATTTCCTCAGATAAGGAATATTACTCTCCTGGTAGAGAAGCTTGAGACGCTTGACAAAAACAATGTCCTTGCCATTCGCCGAGAAATCGTGGCTCTGAAGACCAAGCTGAAAGAGTGTGAGGCCTCTAAAGGTCAAAACACCCCTGTCGTCCACCCTACTCCCACTCCAGGTGAGCGTGCTACTTTTTTAACCACTTGTGCCAGACCCCATAAGCAGCTGTGAGTGGGGTGGGGAAGGGATTGGGGATCGCAATGGTGAAAGAAGAAGGTGGTTTTTTGTTTTTTGTTTTTGTTTTTTTGTTTGCTTTTTTTTTTTTTTTTGCAGTTCTCAGTTTTCTCTTCCATGTTTTAAAAGTCCCTTCCTCCCGAGTACTCTACATGCTATCATATTCTGGGTTTCACAGAGAAAGAGCACAAACAATGAGGGATTTAAACAAAATCCACAAGTTACACATATTCTCTTTGCATCTTCTAACAGGGAACAGAAATGTGTATGGTGAGGGAGGCAGTCAGGGGCCTCAGGGGAAAGCCTCTGGAATCTGTGTGTGGCATCCACGTTCCTGTGTATTTAAGGGCTGATTGGCTCACTTATCTGATGAACTGGGTTTATGCCTTCAATGCTCCCATCTTCTCTCTCTCCTTCCCTTTCTCCTCTTTAATTTTTCCTTTTTTCTTCTATAAATGCATGCTGCATACCTGCTGTATTGTGTGTCCTGAGATTCAGTGAGGATTAAAGGAATGACGCCACATATCCTGTGCTTGTGGGTGTGTCTTGCCATTGCTCATGGATTGTGAGTGCTTGGAGGGTAGGGGTGGCATGTTAGTCTCTAATGAGTTGCCACTGGGGTTAAGTACAGCACAGAGGTGGGTGTTCTGCAAATATACCCGTAAATGGAGGCAGGGGAGTGTAGGGTTCAAGAGCATAGCTTTAGAATCCCAAAGACCTGAGCTTCTCAGCTAGGTGGCTGCAGCAAAAAGGATCCTGAATATCCTCATTTGTAAAATGGGAGAATAATAGTGCCTGCCTTGCAGGGTGGCTGTGGGGATTAATGAGTCAATGCTTGGGAAGCTCAGAGCCTTATGATCGGCATTCACACGCTGGCAATAGATATTATTAATAATGTTGATAATTGAAGCGAAAACCTTGCAACAAAACAAAAGCAGTGCCAGATCACTGTGCACTGCGATGCATCCCTCCAGGTAAACTAAAGCCTCTCAGCCACAGCGTTCAGCCCCGTCTTTTAGAGATATCGATGACACAGGGACTTTCTCTCTGCAGGTCCTGAGCATCTTAGCCTGAATGGGGACTGTATCTTTTCATCAAATCATGCAACCCTTTTATTTTTATTAATTCCAGTCCTCACACCTGCTTTCTTTTAGGTTGTGTTTCTGAATTCTTGTCAATGTAACTGATTTTTTAAGGCTTCAATTATTAAATAGGTATAGCCACGGATATAAGCCTCTTGGTCTTGTTCAGGCGGATCTTTTTCCTCCCTCTACAAATAGGAGTCTATCCTACTACAACAGGTGTCATCTAATGGTCAGAATCCTGCCCCAGAACAAAATGGCCTTTCAACTTCTCCAGAAAGGAAGTAACATAAATTTGAACAACTGTTCAAATTTCTCAACCTGCAGAGGAGGTTTAGGGCAGACAGCATGGTCTGTCCTCTGTAATAAACTAAGGCTAAATTTAGTCTGGGATTAGTGGTGCAAAAATGTAGCAAATGAGAACTGTTTCTGCTGGACCACAGAGGGCTCACTGAGGCAGAGGCTGAAGCAATGACAACAACTGATAATACCTGAACTAGCTCCCCAACACCCCTTGCAAATCTTCCTCATGGAATGGATTTTCCTGGCACAATTTTCTATGCATCCCTTCGAATGAGGACATTTTAGATGAAGGAATATTCAGGGCCATCTCACTTAGCCCCATCTTGTCTCAGAGGAGAAGACTTGGATAGTAAGGAGGCTGCTTTTCCTGAGGCCACACAAGTAGTTAAAGACAGAGCAGAAGGTGCAAGACTAGGGTCTTTGCTTCCCGGTCAGCTCAGGACTGAGGGTGGCAGGCACCAGCAATCCAAGGACAATGGTGGGGAGAAAATGTATTGCTTAGTACCCAGGGAAGAAAACAAGTGAGCCTGTTGGGTTGTTTTTGTTGGATTTTTTTTTTTCCCCAGAACTTTCCCCTAGGCCCTCACACTTAGACTTCTGTGATCCATCCTAACCCAGCTGTGTTGTTTAAGCAAATTGGACCCAGATTTTCACTCACTTTCCCACAACCTTGACTGTACCTGAATCCCTGCCAAGCCACTTGGCTCTCTTCCAGCTTTGTTCATATTATATTTATGATGTTTATATTAAACTGACTTTTGGTCATGTTTTTAAATCAATTTCTTTCACTTGCTCTCTTTCTGTTTGGAGTGGTTGATAATGCAGAATTGGAAAATCCCCAGGCACCACACACTTGTGAGCCTGTGGAGACTTTAATTAAAGTTACTCCCTATTATGGGACCTTAAAATCTGGCCTGTTTGCTTTTTTCACTGTGGAGTTTGCACAGACTAAAAAAGACTATATGCAAGTCTCAGCTCTAAAGTAACTCTGCACAGTCTGGGCCCCCTCCCTCATAGCTACAGTTTGCTAACCCAGTGGTCAGCTTGAACTTAGAACAAGTGAATGTATCCCAGGTTCAATCAAATATGCTTCCTATTTGGTTTTTGCTACAGACAACACCCTTTTTCTGCCTCATTTCATAGAACTTTCTAATCTAAAATAATTGGCCTTCTACTCATTAACGTTTTTTCCCTTCAAACTTCAGTCTGTCTCTGTTTTGCCTGTGAATCTAAATGACTGCATATAGGCCAAATGTGATCGGAGTGCTCAGGGATTGATCTCCATTTTGCTTGGGGATGCAAGGTTCTATGCTGGTCCCTAGTGATGCTCAGTAAGTAGCTGATGATTGAATGGGGTCTGAAAGAAATGGGGTGATCTGCTAAAATCTCAAGCTTAGGGAAGAGCCACGTGTTGAACAGCATATATCCAACACTTCAGAGTCAATTTAGTCTTAATCATTTTGTGACTGATTGTTTTAATTGCCTAATTCTTATAAGTCAATCATATTCTCCTCCTGGCTCAAACCAAGTTCAGTTGCTCAGTTGAGAGAGTGCATTAACAGATCCAAGATTAATTTTCCTCTGCAGGCATAGAATCATTGGCTTTAAAAAATGCTACTAACCATGATACTTTAAAAAAGCCGAGTCAGAATATTTTAAAGTCTCATGATTATGGCTTCCTCAGATATTTTCAGAGAACCATGGTGCCATCTAATGAATTGCATGATGAAGAGAGTGCCAATCAAGGCTAAACTTGTATAGAGGGTTCCTTAAATTATGTTCCATGGAGTAAATACCAGGCTTTTTGAAAAACCAGATATGTAGCAGGGTGGAAGGCTAGTGTTTTATAAATAAGGGTAAGCGGAGTTTAGGTGATTTGATTAATCTTTCCTTCCTTTATTCCACAAACATAATTTGGTGCCACTGTGTGACTGGCCCTGTTCTGGGTACTGGGGTTACCAGCATGAGTAAAGAAACCCCCAGAAGCCACTATCTAGGAAAGGAGAGATCTAAACCTCCAGTTGTAACATGATGTGATTCTATTGAGATATTTAGCATTTACTGAGTAACAGTTACATGCCTTCTCTGTATTTTTCATAACTATTTTGCAGAGTTGGTATTATTTTTCTTCTGACATGAGGAAACTGAGGCTTAGAAGGTTAAGTAACTTGCTCAAGGATACACAACTGCTATTGGAATCAGGCTTTGAATTAGAATCTGGCTAGTAGTATTTTTCATACTAGGCTGCCTTTCATAGATGCTCTAACAGAGAGGTGCACCTGTGGTTTCTGGAGTGAAAAGAAAATTCCAACAGCTCACCTATCTGCTTAACACCAAATTATCTTTGCCTCCTTGCTTGTGGAGTAGGTAAAAGGATCCTTTTGCTCCTGACAGTTTTGTGCTGTGTGTTCTCTTCCACCAGAAAATGCAAAATGATTCAATGGTCTTTCAGAATTCTTGGATCATGACTGGGCAATGGGCTGTTGCCCAAGTGTCAGGGTGAAGTTGGGATGGAAACTGGGTATGAAGTATGGAATGAAGTATGTCTAAGACCTTGACATGAAGGAAGAGGCTGGGAAGGAATATGAGAGAAGGGAGGGTAGTAAGAAGCTCAGTGAAGATGGGATGGGTGGATGGGGACTCTGAGGAAGAGTGGGAACTGGGCTGTCAGTTTCAGTATCGTGTCCAAGACGGTTTGCTGCCAGGAATCGAGGAAGCCTGCCATAGTATTTTTCCTAGTCTGACATTGTTGTGGCCACATTTGTAGCACTGGCAGCAATGTTGAGTTCTCATCCCCATTTCTGCTTCCTTTCTACCATAGCCAGGACCCAAAAAATGGCCCTTTATCCTTACCCATAGAGGATAAAAGAAGGATAACAAATGAACAGGAAAGTGTTTAGGAATGTTTGGGAGGTGAGAAAAAGAAAGTTTCATACATTTTAATATTTACACTGGGCAATTTGAATTTTCTGGTCAACTTATGAAATGATGAGCCACTATTATTATTAGTAGTAGTAACAATAGTAACAGTACTAATACTATTATACTAATAATAGTGCAATTAGTATAATGGTAATAGTAGTAGTAATAGTAATTTTTTGAGAAGTTTATTTTGGGTCCTTCATGTCTAAAAATTTCCACATCTAGGGGTAGAATAGTTTAACCTCTTGGTAGTGCTTGAATAAGTGAGATGCATCATAAATTTTCCTTAAATACTTTGTTGCTGTCGATTTGGGATATTTTCTTTTCAGGAAGGCAAGATTCAACGAAGCAAACAATTCTATCTTCCAACTTGAAAGAAAAAAAGTGACTTTCCTCAGAGTGAAATGTAGTTAAATAAACAAGTTCTCAGGAAGATACTTAACTAGAAAATCCAGTTTGTAGCATATGGAAACTTGAATAGTTTTTGTTATCATTAAACTGAACACACCACTAACTTTATTTTAATAATTCATGCATTGTTTCATAAACAAAAGCAAACAAGCATTCATCAGAGAGATCACTTTTAGTAGAAGAAATAATAATTTATAATTTTATTTATTATTTCTTCAGTGGAGAATAGTCTCTTGGCTGAACACACGTTGCTTTTTTATTTATGAAATGGCACATGCATTATTAAAATAAACCTGCAACTGTGTTCTGCTTAATGATATGCAAAATTATTTTGAGGTTGGGTACAGAGTGGTTTCATTTCTCTACCTGTTGTATGGTTGGCTGGCTTTCTCACCAACTGCAGATTTATGAGACCATTTAAGGAACACATATTTAATTCTGGGACCAAAAAGCCCCAGCAGATCGGAAAAATAAAAACAGAATTTCTAGTAATGGTTTCACCTTTGAGCAGTCCTTGGGCGAGGAGGATGGGGAGGGAAGGCATTTAGCAAGGAAAGGAATGGGTCTTTGCATATTGGACACAGCAGAGACCCAGAGACAAAGGCTTTGCTCTCCCTTCCCAGCCTCCATGCTAATCTCAGGCAATTCTTTGACGCTCTGCTTTTGGCTCCAGCTCACCTCATGTTCCTCAATGGCTCTCTGAGTCCCTGCAAGCATTTCAAGCCAGATCCAACAATTTAGGTTCTGCTCCTTTCCTGTCTCACCTGCTCTGCTCTGAGCAGCAGGACGAGGGAAAATGACCTCAAATATACTTGAAGTTGGGTTTTCTTTGTTATCCAATAAACTATCTCACGAGTTTTTTTTTTTTTTTTTGAGTGTTAAGATCCCAGAAAGCGTGTGTTCAACTCTTTGGATAGTTATTATAAAAATACTAGAGGAACTTTATTTTATTTTTATAGCCCATAAACTCCTGGGATGGCAGGCATTTCAGTGGGAGTACAATGTGAAGGGTTGATCGCCCAGACTGAGTCATTTTCCCAAGTGTTACAGGGAATGTAGATTCAGTGGACCAGTGAATCTTGTTCCACTTGATTGTACACATTGTGACAATGACAGAGTCTGGATGGAAAGATGAAATACTTGCATGTCATTCTATGGCACAATAGCATGTGGGTAATGAACGGCAGGACTCACCTTGTAACTCTGCAGCAGGACGGTCACCAAGTGATTTCTTGATGGGCTGTGCATTGGGTACAGAGCAGGCAATGTTGCCCCAAAATAACTTTATGGCTTCTAAAGGGTGAAATCCCACCATTATAGGACCATCTTTCTGGATCTATAAAATGCTATATTTAAAACGTCCTCTTCTGAGAATAGCTTAAAGCAGGATTGGTACCTGGCATGGATGTGCAGTTGGGGTCCCAAGGAAGGGGAGAACGAGGAAGGGCATGAAGCCTTGCCTGGGAAAACCTTCTTCTTCATCACAATTCTTTCTGGGGCTGACCCTAGTGAATAACATCTTGTGGATTTATAGAAATAGGGTAGGATTGTGGAATAATCTTGCTTTCTTGATTTTGCTGTAAGAAAAATGAAATAAGATAATATTTGCAAAATGCTTTCTGATAGAAGGAAATATATTAAATTCACCAAGTCTCCTTTTCCTCTCTCTGGGCCTCCAAACATTTTAAATATAGTTCTTGCCAGTTTCATTATTCCTATTTTCCAGATTGAAAGCCCACCCATGGAAACAGAAGGTAGTTCTCTGTAGAGTGACATCGGGTTTGCATTGAGACTGAATGCACTGAACTAAGAGGAGGTTTGGCTCTTCTCCATCAGAACCACTGTTGTTATTGAACCTTGACAGGAAAAATATTTATAGATTCCTTTGATGCTTAGGATATTAAACTACTTGTATCCTGTCGTTCCTTTTCTCTAAAAATGCCTTTTTATTTTCTTGTTTGTATAGGGAGCTGTGATCATGGTGGTGTGGTGAACATCAGCAAACCGTCTGTGGTTCAGCTCAACTGGAGAGGGTTTTCTTATCAGTATGGTGCTTGGGGTAGGGATTACTCTCCCCAGCATCCAAGCAAAGGACTGTATTGGGTGGCACCATTGAATACAGATGGGAAACTGTTGGAGTATTACAGGCTGTACAACACACTGGATGATTTGCTGTTGTACGTAAATGCTCGTGAGTTGCGGATCACCTATGGCCAAGGTAGTGGTACAGCAGTTTACAACAACAACATGTACATCAACATGTACAACACCAGGAATATTGCCAGAGTTAACCTGACCACCAACACGATTGCTGTGACTCAAACTCTCCCTAATGCTGCCTATAATAACCGTTTTTCATATGCTAATGTTGCTTGGCAAGATATTGACTTTGCTGTGGATGAGAATGGATTGTGGGTGATTTATTCAACTGAAGCCAGCACTGGTAACATAGTGATTAGTAAACTCAATGACACCACACTTCAGGTGCTAAACACTTGGTATACCAAGCAGTATAAACCATCTGCTTCTAATGCCTTCATGGTATGTGGGGTTCTGTATGCCACCCGTACTCTGAACACCAGAACAGAAGAGATTTTTTACTATTATGACACAAACACAGGGAAAGAGGGCAAACTAGACATTGTAGTGCATAAGATGCAGGAAAAAGTGCAGAGCATTAACTATAACCCTTTTGACCGGAAACTTTATGTCTATAATGATGGTTACCTTCTGAATTATGATCTTTTTTTCTTGCAGAACCCCCAGTAAGCTGTTTAGGAGTTAGGGTGAAAGAGAAATAAAATGTATGTTGAAAAAATAGTCTTCTCCGCTTACTTAGATATCTGCAGGGGTGTCTAAAAGTGTGTTCTTTTTGCAGCAATATTTAGGTGCATAGTTCTACCACACTAGAGACCTAGGACATTTGTCTTGATTTGGTGAGTTCTCTTGGGAGCCATCTTCAGATGGCTCTTCAGGCAAGAAAATGCCTCTTCAGGTGCATTTTCCAGTAAAGTCTGTCTAGGGTAGGATTGTTAGAGTTCTAGGGGCACTGTGGGCCTAGTGAAGCCTACCGTGAGGAGGCTTCACTAGAAGCCTTAAATTAGGAATTAAGGAACTTAAAGAGAACTCAGTATGACTTCTAGGGATCCTTTGTACAGGAAAGATTGCCCAGTGACCAGTCCTCATCCATGAGTCCCACTAATTATTTCATGCCTGGAAGGAACCTGGGGGCTTAGTTAGGTAGATTAATATCTGGAGCTCCTTGAGGGACCAAATCACCAACTTTTTTTTTTTTTTCCTCACTAGCACCTGGAATGATGCTTTGTATGTGGCAGATAAGTAAATTTGGCATGCTTGTCTATTCTACGTCTGTAAAGTGCTGAGTTTTACGGAGGGAGGCCTTTTTATGCGTTAAATTGTACATGGCAGATCAATCCCAGAAGGATCTGCAGATGAGGCACCTGCTTTTTCTTTTCTCTCATTGTCCACCTAACTAAAAGTCAGTAGAACCCTCTACCTCATAACTTCCTTCCAAAGGCAGCTCAGAAGATTAGAACCAGACTTACTAACCAATTCCCGTCCCCCACCCCCTCTCTACTGCCTGCAGTAAAAAAATTAATAGTTTTCTATGGAACTGATCTAAGATTAGAAAAATTAATTTTCTTTGATTTCATCATGAACTTTTATTTACATGGCTCTAAGACTATAAGAAAATCTGATGGCAGCGATAAAGTGCTAGCATTTATTGTTACATAATAAAGATCTTGGAGCATATGTGCGACTTATGAGCATATCAATTGTTGCATGTCATTTTTGCCTTTGTTTAAGCCTGGAACTTGTAAGAAAATGAAAATTCAATTTTTTTTTTCTTTCTAGGACAAGCTATACAAAAGCCATTGAGAGTATCTAGTTAATCAGTGCAGTAGTTGGGAAACTTGCGGGTGTATGTGATGTGCTTCTGTGCTTTTGAATGACTTTATCGTCTGGTCTTTGTCTGTTTTTCCTTTGATGTTCAAGTCCCAGTCTATAGGATTGGCTATTTAAATGCTTTACTCCCCTTTTTAAAATAAATGTTTAAAATGTGCCTTGAAAAAAGTCATCGTTTGTTTTATTTACTTTTTAATATTTTTTAATGCTCTTAACGGAGTAGTCCATATCTTTCAATGAGGTTCAGAGAATGGCTACCTCCCAAACACTAGTGCCAGGAGATTGCACACCTAAAAACAGATCATATCAGTAACTTTTATAAGAGTCCAAAGTTAGCCTGGCTCTTTAGTTTTTCTTTCCCTTTAAAATCCACTCTTTCTGGCAGCTTTTATTGTACAAGACTGCCCTATTATCTTTTGGGATATGACCTTATGTACTTATTAATTTGCATGACTGATCTGATTATTTCCAATGCTAGACTACATTTATGTGGCTTATGTTCCTTTTCCAATTGAGCTATTAACATGGATCAGAAGCCTCTGGATCTTCCCCAGACAGGAGGACTTGGGCAGAAAGCAGAAGGACTAACTGGCTGTACCAGGAGGAGAAGTACCTTTACCAAAGAGAATGTGTAAGAAGACAGGTGACCTACAGCTGGAAGGACACACTGGGCTGATGTAGTTAGTCTTACTGAAATGCTCATTTTGGATCCTTGCCAAGCTTTTTGAGACAGATGGCAGCTATAATATTTAGTATTTTAGTAAGATTTTTTCCTGTCTCTTCAGGGCTGAGTGTAGAGACAGGTATGGCCTTCAAAATGCAACAAGATATGAAGATAAAGACATGTATGTCATGTGAGATACAAGTTAAAAACCAGGATGTTATATTTAATCTGGCTCTAGGCGGTTTTCCAGATGAATGTTTTGTACCAAGTACACAGTATGACCTCTGAACATTCGGGAAAGGAGACAGGAAGCTAAGGTAACCCTAGCAATCAGCTTCTCATTTGAACTGCTACAGAAGCATTTGCCTGAAAAAATCACTTCCCAGCCTCTTTCCCACTGGACATGGTGTATCAGCCTGCAGTGACTACCTGCAGGAAATCTCCCTGCTGGGAAGGTTGAAGGACTCAGGGATT